TACACCCTACTCTTTTCGAAAAACACCCTAGGATTTTTAATTTGTTTTACGGTATAGTGTCCGCATTGCTATACTGAGGGATCAGGACTCACACAGACCACAGTGTGACACCCCCTACTGGCCCCACTCACACCACTTCCAGCAGCAACCTTAGTTTTTCCCAGGAGGGTTCCCGTCCAGGTACTGACCAGGCTAACACCTGCTGAGTTTAAGTGGGTTTCAAGTTATGAGTTGCAGTGTAATATGGCTCTTGGCCAATCATGAATGTGTTGTGTCATAATTAGGTGTAGAGGAAAATCCACGTGGCACGTTCCTCACTGGTGGGTCATTTTGGCCCTGTCTATGGATTAATGACAGGTGACACCCAGTCGGGCTGCAAGACTAAATCTGCATTCCTCCTTCAGCTGGCATTGTGCTCATCAGATTCCTACACCAGAAGCATTCCAGCTGGCTCACAGGAGTTGACCAATTCCTGGCTATTATTTGACTATTAAGGCATTAAGGCCAGCCATGAATGCTCATGTATTCCAAGTGACACTACTTTACTCAGATTTTGCTCAGTTAATAGAATTGACACTTGTTTTTTATACTAAAAAAAAAACAAATGCATAAATAGTGATAGGTTTCTTGTGATGCATTCCAGAACAGATGATAGTTTCTTCCTTTATAACCAAGTACAGGCCTTGATGTTAGATGAAGTGTGAAAGCAGACTTTTATGTCTTCACACACAGAGATGAGCGAGTGCTGACTGATTATCAACTCATGGCACCTACATGTTGTGAGCTACTGTTATTAAAGTTTTCAAAATCAGAAGAGCACAATACAGCAGCATTCCCCTCCTCCACCCACTTGGCAGTTCACAGATTAAACAGAAGTATTATCCAGAAAGGATTTGACTGCTTCAGTTGCAACAATGCGTGCTTTCACCTCCACCTCACACAGACTCCCCCAGCACCATGGTTCAGAACTATAGAGACCTCCATGTACATCGTATCAAGACAGGATGGGATCCAGGGATACAAGGGGAGGCTGGATACTTCCATTTCAAATGTTCTATTTATGTTGTCTGATAACACATATAGTTTGATTCTAACTAAAGGTGTGTTTGCTACATAGAATACCTAGGATGTGTACCTCTAAAAAGATTATTTTCAATACAAAACTGCACATTTAATTCACAAACAGTAGTTACTCGAATGTGCAAAAAATAGCCAATAAAAAATGTATCAAATGATTAATTTCCCAGGGTCATGAAGGCCTTCACACAATAAGGAAAATCTCTGTGGTCATTACACTGATGAGACAACTTCTGATCTCCACCATCAACTCATCGGGCATATTCAGTCTCATCACAGGAACATATTTCTGAAGATTAATGCGCTCAATGTAAAGATACAGCTTTTGCTCATTTTTACTATTCTTTTTATAATAGAAAACTGTGCAGAACTGTATTTCTATAATGTTTTCACACTTATATTGACTTGCACAGTGTAAATTGCACATAAGTATACCTATGATGTATATATATAGTCATGACTGGAGGAAGAGGGGCACATTTGCATTTCAGCAAGGTTAGAAACATCTGCCCTTACCAGACAGACTACCTTACTACTCAGGTTCTGAACAATGAGTTTTGTTTTATTACTTAGATGCCCTCGGGCTAGATGGCAAGTAAACATGATGACCAAACAGATGACTAAATGGTGTTCCTAATAATGTACTCACTAATTCATTCACAGTAACTCATAAAGACCTCCATAACAAATAATAAACATTGAACAGTGGCTAGGCTCTCATATGTTAGTGAACCATTATTAGAAATAAGTGGCACAGTGGTGAGCATTGCTACCTAGCAGGGCTGGAGCTCTGGGTTCAATGCCAGACCTGGGGTGCTATTGCCATTGAATTCCTGCTGTGTCTTAGGTTTCTGCCAGATTATCCCATTCCCTCTGACAATCCAAAAACATACTTGTAAGTTAATTGGCTTCTGGGAATAAATGGCCCTGATGAGAACGTGTGTTGCCTGCAATGGACTGGTATCTTGGCCAGGGTGCATCACACCTTGTACCCATTGCTTGCCAGGATAGGCTCTGGCTGTCTCACGATCCTGAATTAGATCCAAAATGGATGGATGGTTCCCACTCACTAGAGGGCATCCGTGTTTTAGAGAGAAAGGGTAGGATCTGTTTTTACTAGGATACAGGTTGTGCTCTTTCTTCCCAGTTAAAGTGTTTTCTGGTGCATTAAAACTACAGGGACAGAATTTTGTAATTTTGCAAGTCTGAAGTAGAACTCTGAAACCCACCAATTTTACAAATTTACATAAAATGTGCTATATAGTTACATGGAGTATTGTTAACATTGTTTTGTCTCCAAGTTTGGACCTTATTATTACTAACCGTCAGAATAGTGACAGAATAAAATAAAGCACATGCTGTACGATGCTCTGTAATCCCCGACTTTAAGGGGTTAAAATATTAATCTTATTTGCTTGCAAAGCAAGATGGTGTCAGATTACAGATTCTGTCTCGATTATTAGCACCCTGCCATATCTTGATTGTATAGTACAGCTTTTTCCCCCAGTATACACATCGGACCATATCAGGATCTTCAGGATGGGCATAAATACGGGGACGTGTTGCAGCCTGTGGCAGGGATTACAGTCAATCACAGGCTACAGGTGCGGCAGCCAGGAGATTGACACGAACAACATATCACTGCCTGATGAGCTGAACCATTTCTGTGCCCGCTTTGATGCTCTAAACACGGACACTGCTGAGAAGGCCCCAAGCGTACAGGGTGAGTTAGTTCTGAAACTTTCAGAGCAAAACATGCAGAAAACTCTGAGTAGGATGAAAATCCGTAAGGCTGCAGGGCCTAATGGGATACCACCCTGCATCCTGGGATGTGTGCATCCCAGCTGACCACAGTGTTAACGGACATCTTTAACCCCTCCCTGTCACAGTCCATTGTCCCCAACTGCTTAAAAAAAAAACACCATTGTTCCACTCCCCAAAAAGGCAAAAGTAATGTGACCGAAGGATTACTGCCCAGTAGCATTAACATCTGTGGTGATTAAATGCTTGGAGAAGCTGGTGTTATCACACATCCACTCCTCCATCATAGAGTCCCTGGATCCCTTGCACTTTGCCTTCCAGAACAACAGATCATTGGATGATGCTGTCTCCCTGGCTCTACATATAGCCTTGGAACACCTGGACACTAAGAACTCATATGTGAGAATGCTGTTTGTGGACTACATCTCAGCATTCAATTCAATCATAGCCAGCCAAGTGGTGACAAAGCTCAGGGGATTAGGACTGTGCAACTCTGTCTGCAACTGGCTGCTGGATTTCCTAATCGAGAGACCACATGTGGTGCAGATAGGTAATAAAACATCAACACCACTCACCCTGAGCACTGGCACCCCACAAGGCTGCTGTCTGAGTACAAGGTTGTACTCCCTATTCACTCCCGACTGCACAGCAAGACACAGCAACAGCCGCCTCATTAAATTTGCGGATGACATCACTATAATAGGCCTGGTCAGCAATGATGATGAGTCCACTTACAGGGATGAAGTTGGACAGCTGCTGAGGTGGTGTCATAATAATAACCTGGACTTGAATGTAAGTAAAACAAAAGAACTAATAGTGGACTTTCGGAGACACAAGCCTCACACTCACAGCCCACTCAGTATTGATGAAACAGAAGTGGAAACAGTCACCAGCTCTAGGTTTTTGGGAATTCATTTCTGATTACGTAACCTGGACTGTGAACATGGACATTATCTTGAAGAAGGCTCAGCAGCCCCTCTATTTCCTGAGGTGCCTCATGTGATGGGGGATGCAAGTATATGTCTTGGTGACCTTCTACCACTGCACCATCGAGAGCATCCTCACCAACGGGATCACCGTGTGGTACGGCAACATCTCTTCTCAAGAGAGAAAGGCACTGCAGAGAATGGTGAATGAGGCCCAGAAGATCAGCTGTGGTCTCACAGAGATTAAACAGCTCTATGAGGACATCTGCTGTGGTAGAATTCTGGCCATCACAGAGGACAGTCACCACCCCAGGCATGAGCTCTTCACCCCACTCGCCTCAGGCAAGAGATACAGCATATGGACACTTACCACTAGATTCTTCAACAGCTTCTACCCACGAGCACTGCGATTGGTGAACACATTTGTCTGTTCCCCTCGGACCACACCTACACCATCTGCCTCACTGTAATTTTATTTATTGCACATCTGCAGTTATTGCTAAGATGTCTGCATTGCTTACATTTGAACCATTTACTGTGTCTACTGTTTGTTTGTATATTGTGTTGATGCACTGTGTGCACTTTGTGTTTTACACTTTTTTTTAACAATCGAGAGACTTTCTGCAAGTAAGAATTCCATCGCACCAGTACATGTACCGGTTACATATGGCAATAAAGTTCAAGTTCAAATAACACATACACATGTATAGTCACAGTATGCAAGCAATAATATAAGCCAAAGTGTTGGCTGTATAAAGGATACCAACAGGGACACAATCAGGCATGACAGTATACATCACAGAACACATTCTGACTCAAAGTTTACTGACTCAAGTGCTATTAATGAACCAGTTTGATATGGCATCAGAAAATTTGAAAAACAAGGGGTCAGGATCCAGGTAAATCAGAAAACAAGTCTGTGAACCACAGAATGTCTATGTGGGTCAACAACAGATGCAAAAGTGTTCAGATATTGAGGAGATATTTTAAGAATAAATACTGACAATAAACACTAAACTCACACTAAATTCAAACACTTTTATCCAGTCTGAATACAAAATAAAATGTTTTCAAATTTAAAGTTATAGATCTCATTAATTGGAGGCATTTTTAGAGGGAACAAAGTGTTCATCCAGCTTTTAGAACTGCAAATGCCATATGTGAAAATGATCATATACTCCTACAAATTTGTGTATCTGGGGGCATTAGGTCCAATAGTTAAACACTTGTACTTACATGTATGTAAACATTCTGTTACAGTGGTGGCATCTATCAAGTACCCCTCACACAGACGACAGGTGATGTGAGCATTTATATCCCATAACTTAATCTTCCTGGTCAGCATCTCGGGGTTCTGAATAAGAAATAGAAAGATATAGCACATTAGTACAATACTAAATTTGCTTACCAAAGCGAATGGCATGCTAACATGATGCACTATTATCAATGACATCTTGTTTAGTATTCTGGTGTTGCAATTGCTTTCTGTATGGAGACACAAAAGTCATTCTAAAACCCTTCTTCAGCTCTTAAAGACACGTGATAGTGCTTCTGTTTGTTTACTTTGCCTCCCTATTGTATGTAGTCTTCTAAGATGAACCATGCACCAATATGGGCAGAAGTTTCTGCATTGGCCACACTGAGTTACCGAATCCGACAATACACAGGGTAAAATCTGATAAAGCTGGTATTATTTCTCCTCCAAATTATATGCTTGTAAAAGTCATCTGACCTTTTTACAAGATCCACGTTGCACACAGCAGAGTTTGCATGTAATGCAAGAAGAACAGTTTTCAGTGAACTGAACTTTCACACATTAAGCTCAAAGGCACCGAGCAAGGCCCAGCGTTCATATCAAAGGGTAAATAACCTGGTCACCTCACCTTTGCAGTATTCAGCAAAATGAGACTACACACTTCAGGATTCCTGATAACAATCCGCTATTGAACAGCTCAGACTAGAAATAGAGACATCTAGACCATAAGGGTTTAGTTCCTTATAGTAAGGGTATTCCAAACAGATGCAATTAAATAAATATAGTTTTATATAGTAACTTAAAGGTGTATTTAAACCAAATTCAGGTCACTTATTGTTTACTGGTATACTTCTTCCCCTTACAAAGTGAGTAAATAAGGCTATTTAAAAAAAATAAAATGAAAATAGACCTAACAAAAGATAAATAAGTCTTACCCCTAGAGCCGCCATGTGTTAAATGTCGACAATCTGGCTGCCACCTTTCTTCCGACAGGGGGTATTGTGTCGTTAGCTCTGCATTATTGATTGTGCTTCATGTGACTAGAAGAAATGAGAACAAAGGCATTACACATCCATTCCCATACAACATGGAAGTTTCTTTTTAGTTAACAATACACCCATTGCATTAAGCTACTTGCAGCTCCTGAAAGGAAAGAGCTGTGAGTCTAAGCCCCATTATAATACACATAATTGTTAATTTTACAGCTTTGAATGATGAAATTGCCAAGAGCCAGCTCAACAAGTTCAATACAGTTTTAGAGAAATTGGCTACATGAAACATGTTTCATAACCTGTTTTATCTGGACAGATGGCCACTGGCAAAGACCAACATAAGTTCTTTTGGATGCTCTTGGTGAATCAAGTAGAAGTTGCAGTATTTTTTAAGAAAATGGGACTCCAGTGCATACTGCTTGAATGCTGGACTCCAAATGATTTATGAGTTGGAAACAGTCATGATTTCATTGCCTACCATAGAAATGTTTGTCACCAGATTTAATTCAAGCTGAGATATATGGACTGGTGCCTATACAAACTATTTTATTCCCTGAATACAAAGTTGCATATCTTTTCATTTTAATCAATGCAATTGTTACATTAGCTTTATTCACTGAAACTCTGTACACTGTGAATCCTTATCATTTGAAGATCATGTATCACCTACTCACAATGTTTGTATTAATTTTCCCTAAAGCGCCTGCAATCCGACACTGTTTTTTGACACTGTGCAGTAATATAATTTTTAGATTTTTTTAACACCATTCTTACCATCTAAATTCTAAATGCTGATCACTACTTAATCACATATAACTCAAATATTCAAAGCAGTGTGTTACAACAAGGCATATTATTTCACTAAGAATAAAGTGTTATTAAAGATCTCTAATAATCATTGTTCAAGACAACACCGACAGGTTGGTGCCTTCCTGAAAGTGGAGAGGAATATAGTAAAAGGTCCCTTGGATATTATAAAGCTACATCCAGTGCTGTACAATGAATGATGTATAGTGCATCAGTAAAATACAGAGTTATGCCCAAAATATTCTTCCTGCAAAAGAAGAAATCTTGTGTTCATGAACCCACTGTTATTTCCACCTGAGCAATGAAATAAGACAATTAATGAGTATTTGAGGATATTCAGAACCAAGTTATAGTCAGGCAAACTGAGTTCTCCCACTTGTCTACCTTGTGGCCAGAGCCAAGACGACAAACTGCACACACACTATTATTTCAAGACCAAAGGTCAGCCACATCAACTTCTGGCATTGCTGTCTGAGGCTCAACTCTAGCTACTGAGTCCAAATACAAGGCAAAGCTCTCTCTCTTCTCCCTGCACCAAGATACTCCCAGGACAGAGCAATCAACTGTCATGTTGAACCACCTACAAATCCAGCCAGCTCAATCTCCTCAGCACAAACTTTGAACTCATCAATGATGTTTGGCCAATAGATCTTTTGAGTATAAAACTTTCTATTCACATTATATTTTTTTTAAGAGTTGAACTATTATTCCAAAAACATCTGATAGATGGTTAATGATGGAAAATGCATATTTACGTGTATCTGAGAATATACATGTGATTTTATTATATGAGACTGGTAAAACTTATGGATTCTTCTTATATTCCCTGAGTAAACAATCAGCTTCCATATCACAGCACATGGTTTCAGCTATGTATTCTATTAAGTTTCATGTTATGCCTGTTTTGGTGTTACATCAATAAATCGTATACTGTATATTAAGAATCCACTACTGAAATGGCAAATTTTTGTTTGGTTCCTATGTGCATGTTTTGGTTTACATCAATTAGTAGTATACGGTATATTAAGAATCCATGTGTGAGACGGTACATTTGTTTGATTGGATTCTAAAAGTTGTCAAGTACTCTCACAATTTACCATTAGAATTTATTAATTTTACAGCAAATTAAAATGCCCACAACACAAGTGCCTTATAATAAGATGTAGTTTATGTACTGACTAAAAGTTAATTCATTAAATTAAAGTGATATCCAGGTAAACGTGTGCCTTACATTTCTAAGAAATGTCAAACAAAAGCTGGAGATGATTCTTTAGGCCCAATACTTCTTTTAGTAAATATGCAACAGTCTGTGTAAGTCTTTCTATTTTCAGATGTAGGATTTTTTATTGACTTTTGTCACTTTTTTCATTCCTTCAATAGACTTGAAAGTGGCAGTGTGAGAAAATATGTTTGTGCAAAACACAGAATGAATAACAAATACCAAATTGTTCAGCCACATATCACAAAAATCATTCACTATTTAGATAATATTATGCTTTAGATCTGGATATCTAAATTAACAATGCAAATCAACATCTGAGTTTTCTAATCTAATTGGCTCTCTTATGAATGGAAGAACATCAATTTACCTTTCATTCATTCAACAGTTCCAATTCCAGTGTAACAATTACTTCGCAATTATTTTTTTCACTGTTCATTAAACCATGAAATCAGTTAACAGTCTGTGAGTATGGCTGCAACACTCTTCACCTTGCAGTATGCCTGAAGGGAATTTTTTGTGAAATTGAAAAATTAGGATGTAGTTTTGCATTTTCCATTTCTGATTTTACACAAAGGGTTGGGAGAGACAGGAATAAGCTATAGTCATGTTGTTAAAACTTGACACTCTAGCTTCTTTCAATAAACATCCGAACTAGATCCCTAGGACTCAGTTAATATCAATTTAACAAGAAAGGTGGGTTGAATGTCTTCCTCTTATTTATAATGCTTTTGTATTCTTAAGATCTGAATTCTGAAAAACGGAACTTTGAGCACCTCTGCTTCTATATTTTCCATATTTTTATTCTGCCAGCACACCATAACTGTCACATGAATTATTGCAAGAGTGGTTTGAATAATGACATGAAAACCACGCTTTAATGGGGCAAGATGGACATACTATCTACTTTTTTTAATAATAAAAATGAAAAAAGTATGATAAAAAGGGCACTGTATCTGCAACGAAGGGCAGCGGTAGGGATGTGTAATGGGGCGGACAATTATCTGTTGACCTTTGCATAAATGTCTATAGCTTTGTGAAGCAACCTAATCTACTCTCGGGAACTGTTTGGCCTGCATTCCAGTAAGAGAGTAGCACAGACATTACATGAGGATCTTTTTGCTCCAGTTGAAATCTAGAAGCAGACGGGTGAATCTAGATACAGCGAACTTTGATCAAAGACAAAGATATGAGTAACAAACTCCTCTTAGGTGGCTAGTGCATGAAGCCTGAGCACATATTAGTAATCATCCCTTTACATACCAAACTATTCAAGATTAAACCCATTTACGAATGTGACTCTTGGACCTTCATCAATTACCCAATTGGCTTTTAATTCACTACATCAGAATATATGTGCTAATGACATAGGCATGAAGAACCTCTAGTGGCAGGTCAGCTGGAACCACTACAGTAATTACTGCCGGCCTGTCACATCAACCTAAACCTGAGGATTTATTATCCTACTTGTAAACACCATGATTAAATAATTGCAGTTACACCAGATACCCAGATGTCAACTGTTCTACTGTGATTAGAGAGATTGAAAGCTTTGAAACCATATCTCGAGAGTTTTCTCCTATGGATAATGCCCCTGACAGATGGATACCCACAAAAACCCCAGGGTACACTTACTCCCCCAAAAGGCATACTTTAAGATAGGAGTACCTTTCCTGGCAAGTGCAGAAAAATAACGTTTACTATACGGGGGTGGTATTACAGGTCAAGTTCAACACACACCCACTTTAGTAGGGAGTCATGTCTAAACCTAGGACCTTCTTACTCTCACCAACAATCGGAGAAGATTAATCACTATACCAGAGCAGATGCCAGACAAACTCAAACTGGCATGACTACCTACCATAGTATATACTATGATAATAATTAATAATTGCTTACACTTATATAGTGCTTTTCTGGACACTCGACTCAAAGAGCTTTACAGGTAATGGGGACTCCCCTCCACCACCACCAATGTGCAGCATCCACCTGTATCCTTCCTTCCTTGCCAAGATTGGGCAGAGCAAGAACTCACTGCTCCGCACAAAAGGAGCAGCAACGGCATCTCTTTCTAGCAGATCTGAACTGGAGGCAGCCAGCCCACTTTTACTGAATTACTCAGTCACAGCCAGCCACCCCCAGACATTCTTGATGTCTACTGGCACCTACCCCCAAATGAGTAATTCTCTCAAAGAGCTGACAGTGACAAAAACACTAATGCTCAATTTCAGCATTTAGCAATTTTCAGCAATTTTAGCATTTATCCTGAAACGTTTTTGGGTAGAACTTTGTATTTTTCTTCTCCTCTCTGGAAAATATTTCTAAACAGCCACCTAACTTAAAAAATTTACATGCAGTCTTTTAAGAAATGTATTTAAAACAGATACATTTTATGTTTAAATTTAATTGCTACAAAACACGACAATTACTTTTTACAGTCCCATCGTAGAAGAATTAAGGTCTCATCAAAAATTAAAGGACTGAAATTACATGGACGAGTACTTTGATGCAAAGCGCTGCTAAGGTTCTTCTCAGAAATGAGTACAATGGACTCAGAATACAGTAATTCCTAATCTGCTACAGTATTACACCCATTTTTGGGTGAGCAGCACCACACCTCTGAAGAGTCCCAAGAGTTTTATCATTTGTTAATAAAAGGTGTCCTATGGTTATCTGCATTTGTGAAACAGAGAACAGTTCTGATACAAAAAATTAAGAACTATACAGAAACAGTGGTCTGTTCACATATATTTTGAAGATGAAAGGACATTTTATGTATGTTGAAAGGCCCACCATTCAACATAAAATGAGAGGAGAAAATGAGAGGAGACCATTCCTCAGGTGAATGTAAACATGAAAAAATATTAGATTATTCTTTATTGCCACACAACAATAGTTGGTAGAATTTGCTATCAGTACAGCACAAACACAGATAAGACATACATACAACATATACAGTTCAAATTTAAATAGGACAGAAAACAGACAAACATCGTCACATACATATGTAAACAACTTTCCA